GAGAGAGAGAGAGAGAGAGAGAGAGAGAGAGAGAGAGAGAGAGAGAGAGAGGAACAGACGAGTGTCGGATCGTGACCTTTCTTTTCTTTTCCTTGTATAAGATTTTGGTCTCAGGCGGAAGCCATCTTTCTTATCTCTGATTTTGTACAGCGCTCGTGCACGGTTGAGGAGCCGTATCTGCTGCGTGAAGGTTAATAAGCAGATTCGTCACAACACTGCCACATTAGCAAAGGAAATGAGGGAGGTGACATCACAGGGATATGGACGTTGAGCGTTGCTACTCTACAAGGGGGATGGTGGCGTCTCTAGTTGACAGAGTGGAGGGAGAGGCGATGGTCTTCTGTTCTATTTCGTGCTGATCCCCTGGCATCGCACGCTGGCGCAAGTAGAGAGGGGGGGTTGCTGCTTCTTCTTCGTGGCGCGAACCTTCAGGCGTTGGTAACCTTAGTGTGAATGAGGATACTTTGCTTCATGGGGTGGGACGTTCTCTTCGACTTTGGTCAGCTTTCAATTTCGTGTCCTAGTGGATTTGTCGTCGACCTTCACTCGTACTGTGTTGCCAACGGAGGTAATCTTCATCATCATCATCATCGAAATTTTCATAATGTGGGGATAACGGCGGTAATTTTCGTCATCAGTATCATCGTCATCTTCATCGTCTGACGTATCAAGGGTCGTCTCTCCTTTACACTTGGTGTCTTTCTACTTGGTTCTCTTCTGCTTCATCTTCTTCTCTTCCTTTTGGGGTGATAATGGGCAGAAGTGGAGGAGGGAAGGGTATGGGAGTGGCTGGGTTATGTAGGAGGAATGCACAAATCTGTTTTTCAAAAATACTCTTACTGTGACTCTCATCAATTTTATTCATGGTTACCAACCGGACGTCTGGACCCCGATCCAGACAGTCCAGTGTCCGATATCCGGTTAGGAGGGTCCGGTTGGACCCCAAAATCAAAAAATTCAAAAAAAAAAAATTGGGGTCCCAGGCCGTTCACCTCGGCCTGGGGCACCCCGGAAAATTGTTGTGTTGGTTTTTCTCGATCGGGTACCCCAACCGGACAGGCCTGAAAGGGCCTACGAGTGAAATTTGAAAGTATTCTGATAGTAGCAGCCCCGCTGGCGGGAGGACACGAATTCTAACTTGGAGGTTGCCGTGGAGGTTTGCGTTGTCGCCGAAGTCCTCGCCCGCAGCAGTGTCGTCGCCGTCTTGCCGTGGAGGTTGCCGTGGAACTCTCTCTCTCTCTCTCTCTCTCTCTGTTTTCCTTTTTCTTTTCTTTATTTTCTCATTCGTAAGGTCTCTCTCTCTCTCTCTCTCTCTCTCTCTCTCTCTCTCTCTCTCTCTCTCTCTCTCTCTCTCTCTCTGTGTGTGTTTTCCGTTCGTAAGTTGTGTGTGTATGTTTGTGTCATGTGTGGGATGCTTGGGGGTTGGAGCAGGTGTGGAACTGACACTTGGGGGCTGGAGCGGGTGTGGAACTTCGTTGTGTCTGTGTGTTTGTGTCATGTGTGCCGGTTCAAGATTCCAAGTTTCAAACTTCGAGGTTCGGAGAACTCGGGGTGTTAGTAAACTTAACATTTCCAGTATGATTAATGCTGAAGTCGTTAGCACGTACGACCAGTCCCATAAACCTGTATGTGTCAGTGTTTGTTTTTTTTTTT